CTGGTGTCACTGTGGTCTGTGAAGGGTAAGGGTGAAAGCTTGTCTGAATCCTGGTGTCACTGTGGTCTGTGAAGGGTAAGGGTGAAAGCTTGTCTGAATCCTGGTGTCACTGTGGTCTGTGAAGGGTAAGGGTGAAAGCTTGTCTGACTCCTGGTGTCACTGTGAACCAGTCAGTGTTTCCCTCATCAGTTCTTGCACAACCCAGGCTATTTTCGTATAGATCTAGATCTAGTGATTTAATGTTACATAGAGAAATATCACTCCATAGATTTTCAAAATCTGTCACGGCCTATCCCCATCGACTCAGTAATTTAGCGCCTTTTTCTGATCTACGAACATTATGCCCAGGTTTCTACTGTGTTCTATATATAGCTTTTTCTTTTTTTTTTCAGTGAGAAGATGTCATCTGTGCATCCCCCTTCATTTACTAAATCCCAACTGTATAGCTGTCCCCGGGGTTTTATGCACCCCGCATAATTTAGCAAAATTTTATCATTTTTTGTGTAATTTCTTATTATTTTCCTTTATCGTTCTTTGTTGAAATTAACAGAATCGCATAATTCCACATTTTTGGGCTCAGTTTGTATGATTTCAATTTTTTTTGCATAAAAACGCGGAGACAGGTATAGTGGCGTCGGTAATTTAGTGGTTAGACAACCGCACCCGTAATCGAATGGTTGCTGGTTCGGGGGTTCGAGCCTCAGCTCGGTCCGACGTTGTGTCCTTATGAAAGGCACTTTACACGAAATAACCATTTGGCTCGACCCTTTCGTAGATGGATGTTAAACGCGGAGGTCCCGCCTCTTAAATAACCTAATTGTGTTGAGAGGGGCGTTAAACCTATACCCTATCACCATTTTCTCCACAATGTATGTTTCTCTTGTTTCCTTCTACAACGGGCCTCACTCTACGGTTGAGGATGTTCACTATACATCTTACTGGTATGGCCTGGCTTTCGTTAGTAGAGATAGTAAATCATCGAGGGCGGTTGGCGGGTGCTCTGGTGTGGTATGCTTCTTCTTTTCTATGGAACATCTATCGTCCCTATCTCCCCTTCTTCTTTTTTATGTTTGTTACTCTCTTGTGGCACCTCTAATCTTCTGGCGCTCGTATGACCTTATGCAGTTGTGAGCGCCGTAAAACCTCTACTAAACCTAACTAAAAGTAAATCATCTTCTTTCTCCGTTGCTCAGTACTAGCACGATAATTTGAATGTTTGTCTTCATTAAAACTCGTTAAAATGAGAAGTTGAAAAGTCATTAAGATACTTCAAAGTTTATATGTGTCCTATTGAACTGATACTGGACACAATTTTAATGTCCTGGTCACAAAATATACCGTCCATTTTGTCTTTTTCTCTTTTTTGGAAAAATGTACAATATATTTTTATATTCAGTTATTTATAAATTGATTTTTTTACATGAAAATAAATGTGTGAAAATACGTTTATGTTATTTGAATAAACAATAAAAGAGTTATAATGAGTTACTTGTTGTTAGTATCAAAAAGAGTGTTCATAAATAAGTGATGATGATGATGATGATGATGATGATGATGATGATGATGATGATGATGATGAATAGGAGGAGGAGGATACGGGGGAGGAGGAGGAGGAGAAAAACGATAGGTCATTCTTTCTCCTTTACACCTACACAAAGGCATACATGCCCATATGCACGCACACACACACACACACACACACACACACACACACACACACACTCACACACACACACACTAACACTAACACACACACAT